GGCAGTTCTGAAGGCGAAAGGGGGTCAAACACCGTATTAGTATGGTGTTCCTAATAATCCTTTAGGTGAGTGTATAATCTGCATGCCTAACAAATGTCATCTTAAACCGAAGCCTTATATCATAAAGAAATATGAGCAACGGCAACATTGCCACTCAGAACAGAAAATATTTATTTTTAAACAACATATAGGCAACAACGGACAGGATTGGCAATGGCATTCCACACAAAAATAGGCTTAAAAATAAAGGAATCAGTGGGCTTAATACCCTAAAGAATATACAGGCTAAGCATCCACATTTTAAATTCCTCAAATTTTTTCTGTTTGATGCTGCTGCGTCTCTCTATAAAATTAAATTTCACTGATAACGTTACGTGAAATTACTATTTACTTTACAGGCTTTTATACTTTTTACTTTATAGACTTGATATGCTACAACCATATAACTTTCTCACGTTTTGCTCTGGCTTCCGCCTGTTCGCGTAGCACTCTCATGTTTCTGAGAAAAGTGATTCCAAAGTGAATGTTTACTCACCAGTTTGCTCTACATTATTGTCATCTATACGTTTGATAAGAATATAATACACTTGCATGATCTATCAGTTTCCTACGGAAGAGGATTAAGGCCACCATGAAAATATTATTTGAATTCTGACTTTTTTCTCAGAATTCTGACTTTAATGTCAGAATTCTTCGGAAGAGGATTAGGGCCTCCATGAAAATATTATTTGAATTCTGACTTTAATGTCAGAATTCTGACTTTTTTCTCAGAATTCTTACTTTAATGTCAGAATTCTGGCTTTAATGCTTAATAATTTGTTTGCGGTTTTCAAAATTTTGAGTAATACTTTTGGCACAAAATTAACTCAATACGCTCCACTCCGCTCACATGCTTAGATACGGACAGAATGGGACGATGTAGCGGCCGAAAACAGCCAAAGTTTGAAATGTAGCGCAGTACCGCTTTGGCAACACCAAGGATAGAGTCGATTATCTTTATCTTCTGTGTGTGTGTGTGTGTGTGTGTGCGGATTAGGTTAATATTACATTGTGGAGACCAAATCAGCAAAAATTGTCATGGGGAATCCCCTCAACCCCCCACCCACCCAAGTAAAATCCATGCATGAGCTGGTCAGTGAACCTCATTACATTCGAACATGTTATACAAATTTATTTGGACTTTTAATAAAGATAATTTTAGAATGACAGACAAATTATGCAGAAGGTGGGAGCAGTAGGGATTCGATGGTGGGGGGGGGGCTTACGCGGGGAATAGGCCTACCTTGTTGTCGTTCTAACTATAGGGAACTTACATAGTTAGAACCGCACACGTGAACTGTTCCTACTATGTCAGTTGCTAATGGCAGCTTTTGGCAAATGTACCCATGAACCAAACCTATACTTGTTGTTTTGAATTTCATTACCAGCTTTTGGGTGCATTTTCTGCCTTATTTAATTCTGTAAAGAAAAAAAAGATACTCATCTTGCTCTGTTAGATTTCTAGGGTCATCAAAATGAAAACAATAAAGTGACGTTAAATGCTAGCTGCCTAAAGATTATCAAGGAAATTCCAGAAAACGGGTTCAGCGAGTACTCCCAGATTTACGGTGGCCATGAAACGTAATTTCTTTCCTGGATGACTTTGAACTTCGTTAGAGGTAACTGGGTTTCCTGTATCACAAGGTAGGGTTGTACACAAGTCACCCAAGTCACCAGTCATGAGTGCTCGATTCCAAGTCCAGTTGTTCTGTGCTCAAGTCCAAGTCATTATATACAAAACTAAAAGTACAAACACAGAGACAAATTCAATCTACAAAATAAGGTTTTACTGTTTTGTTGAAATGTTTTGTACAATTTGAAATGTGATAAATAGCTAAACTTATCTGTAAAAGTACTGCATGACAGTTGGTATTTAATACTGTGCTAGAGCAACAATTTCCTTTACTTTCAGGGAGCCTGGAAAGCAGAAATATGAAATCTGCCACAATTAGCATTTTGGAGGCTGACATTTGCCTCCCGATTCGATATTATATCGATATTTTCTGCCAATTCGATATGTATTGTGATTTTTAAATACTTTTTCCTGAATAGCATATTTATGGAGGGTGTTTTGGTGACAATACTCAATAAACAAATGTTATTTAAAGTGTTATTTAAATTATAATCATTAAAATTGTTATTGCAAACTTAGTTTAATCGATCTTGCATAGTCGATTGAATTCACATTTATAACCGCATTTTGTCTGTTCCGTCCTGGTGCTGTATTATTGAAACTTCCTAACTTGCGGATCCAATCGTAACTGGTAACCAAGGTAACTACAGTCAAAACCAATTTAGGAAAAAGCCATTAGAGATTAACAGTTCTTAAGTCATTGTTCATGTCCTAACTTAAAACAGTAAAAGTGTATTACACAAGCTTCCTAACTTCCCAAAATCTTAAATTAACACTCTTAACTCCTAATTTAGAATAACTGCACAGCTCCGATCATAATATAAGAATTACAATTATATATAACGTGACTACTTTTTACTACAGTAGTCCCCCAACATTAATAATGTTACATACAATAATAATAAAATACATTATTGTACAATACGTACTGTACTCTCTCTAGAATGAACTGGACATTGACGATTTACTCTAAATCTCAAAAGATGATAGAGCAATGAAAATAATGCTTTTTATGCCCAGGACGAAGGAACTATGAAAAAACATAATGCCATATTGTTACACAAGTAGGATGTTTAGGCTCACGGATTAGTAACAGCGCTTGGACCAATCAGAGAAGACAAGTCCGTATATTCCCTGACGTAATACATGTATATGTTTTCAGTGGCTTTCCATTCATTGAGAATCCTGTGACGTAACCAGTCTTCGAAGCAGGTTAGACATGTAGCGTAAGTTACCACGGCGATGTATCCCAGTAAGAAGCGACATGACATAAATCCACTCGTTTAAATTTGTGGCCGGTCATTCTTAGATATTTAAATTTTATTCTGTGTCTGCTGGGGTATTCATCATTATAGGTTGTCATACATGTGCGTGGAAAACAATACAAGCTCTATTTTTAGTCGGTAAATTCTGTTTCTGCCTCAAAGAGGCGTGCCTTTAGATATATATGATACTGTGATGACAATTCGGACAGTTTCTATTACCGAAAGAACTACGTACTTGTTCGATGAAAAGGAAAAAGTGATTCTCTTAAATTTTTACTCAGTAGCCTTGTAATATTTATAGACATGGCAGATTCGAAAAGGACCAAAAGTGACTCCAGTGACATTAACCCCACAGGTAAAACTTAATCCCGTCCTAATAAGGCTTTTATAGTGCAAATTCTTTGTTGATGTTAAGCGTGCTACGTATGTGTATGATCAGGATATTCTGATCATACACATCTGACGGAAGTCGTAATATAGTTAATATTATACGAAACATTGTAACTTGGCTAATTTCCATTTTTTATTGTCAGATGGCTCAGAGGATAAAAATATTGCAATTTACAATATATGTTTTATTTTATTGAAGGCTAATACATACACAGGGAATCTTTCCTGGTATCATAAGTGCATTTTCAATGGTTGTCAGGCTTTTTTTTTTTAGAGTCATTTGCCGAATAGATTTAAGATATAATTTTTTGCTAACTACTTGAAGGGGCACAAACAATGTACTATAATGTTAAATAATCATGAACCAAGTATTAATGTACTAACTGGGGGCAGTTTGTGGTTCAGTGGGCTAAGCTTCCATGCCTGTCACCAGCTGAAACCTGGCCTTGGTACATCTGCAGGTCCTTCAGTAAGGCCCTTAACCTACAGTACAGAGAGAGCAAGTCAGAGGAGACATATGGATAATTTCCCCATGACGATTAATAAAGTATAATTAATTATGATCATAGGCGATGTTTAATGCCTTTTTTTCCTTTTTATTAATATGACAAAAGCTATTGACCATTATGTAGCAATTATGTAGCCTTCAAAATGGGCACATATTAACAGAATATATCGGTACAAAAAAACATGTGACCTAAAACATAATGGTAGTAACCAGGGTTATTATAGGGCTAGGGTTAGTGACAAAGGTAAAAAAAAAAAATATTTACAAAAGGTAGTTTTGTTAAAATACGAGACTACTGCTAGTGTGGTATCAAAACATCATACTGAAAACTAATACAGAAAGTAAATAAAAACTAAACCAAAACTAAAACTAGTTGTACACTCTTAAAAGAATCTGAAACTGAACCAAAACTGAAAATCAAAATGGGAAATCTAAATGCTAATTTGAAAAACCCTGGCTGTAACTGAGTTACTATTAAGTTACTAAGGAACTGTATTGTAAAGTGTTACCATTTTTATTTGATATTTCTTTAGATTTTGTTTGTTATTAAACATTCACTTTCTTTTTTGAGAGCAATGCCATAAANGGGGGGGGGAAGGAGTCCATTGGTGGATATAGTGGTGTGAAATGCTTTTATATCTATCCTGATCCTGAACACAGGGTCACCACAGGGCTGTGTGCTGAGCCCATTGCTCTTTACTTCATTCACTGATGGTTGTACCCCCAAACAAAATAGTCAAATTTGCAGATGACACTATGGTGGTGGGCCTGATTGTGGACAACAGTGAGACAGCCTACAGGACGGATGAGGGTCACCTAGCTGAGTGGGGCACCAACAACAGTCTAATCCTAACACAAGCAAGACTAAGGAGACTGTCATAGACCACAGGAGAGTAAAAGAGAAAGACCACAGCCCACTCATGTGAGCATGTGGAAAGTCTGAAGTTCTTGGGAGTCTATATAACGAATGATCTCAAATGGTCTCTTAACACCACACACCTGAAGGACAAAGCCCAACAGCGTCCACATGTCCTCAGGAAATTGAGACAGTCTCGTCTTCTGTAACATCTCCTGACAAGCTGACTACCTCAGTATGATATAAAGCATTCTGGACTTGGCTGAACTGCGTAGTATGGAAGCTGCACTGGGACTGACCTCTTGAACTTTGACAGGGTCTCCTCCATCCTATCTTATCTTATATTATCTTATCTTATCTTAATCTTATCTTAATCTTATCTTAATCTTATCTTATCTTGTCTTAGTTTATCTGGGTTTTTTTTGACACACGCAGCATTGATTTACGCATAATTTATTTTTAATTTCATGTTGAGATTTCTGCTTCTGCTTTTTGCAGTGCCCCTCTGGTGTATGACTGTTTCAGTCCACTGTGACTGTTTTAGTCCTTTTATTTACCACGTGAGTTTGCTGGTGTTGTTGGCAGTGTCTGTTTCTCGCAGCATGATGAATACCAATAAGGCTTTAAGGGTACTTTACAACAGGGACATAGTAATGGGGGGGGGGGGTTGTATTTAAATCCCCTCTGCTGTTGCTTTACAACAACTCACAAACTGCACATTCGGGCGATTTATTTATTGTAGCTGTGCATTTTACCTATACCAACTTTATTATTATTTTTTAATTTAAGCTTTATTTTTCTAGGCAAGAACAATTTCTTATTTACATTGACAGCCTAGCAAAAGGCTAAAGAACTACCTCTAACCACATCATAAAGTATGCAGGTGACAACACCATGATCGGCCTAAGCCAATCACAAGTGGCGGTGATGAGTCAGCATACAGGCAGAAGGTGAGAGAGCTGGTGGAGTGGTGCAAGGCCCACAATCTGCTGATCAGCATCAACAAGATGAAGGAAATGATTGTGGACTTCAGAAGAACTCTCTATACCAGTGTTTTCCAACCTAGTGGTTGGGGAGAGTCCACAATTTTGCTCCCTTCCCGAGGACTGTGTTGGGAAACACTGCTTATACATCAGAGCAATAAATATCTGGGTGTGCACCTTGCTGAGAATCTCTCCTGGAACCAACTTGTATCCTCCCTGATCAAGAATGGCTAGCAGTGAACTTCTCTCCAGTGGTGCTTGAGACAGAGGAAACCTGTCATTTTGTCCGTCTTCTAGAGAGATGGTGTCTTTACACACTGCATCCCAGCCTGGTTCAGAATCTGCAAGGCCTCAATCTGCCAATCCTCTCAGGTGGGCATTAAAACAGCAGAGAAGATTCCTAGTATCACTCTACTTTCTGTGCTAGATAATGACCACTACATCCATAGGGTCAATGGCATGACCCATCGCACCCCACTCACAACCTCTTCGCTCCACTGCCATCTGCTATGAGCTTCTACAGCCTCAAAGCCAGAACGATGAGGCTTTTTTTGCAGTTATCCTGCTGAACATTCTGGCCCCTCCAGTCTATGACTTGATCTCCTAAAAAGACTAACTCTTCCCCTCTCTGGATTGCATGACTACTGAATGAGTTTTGGTTCCCAATACTGTAACATATGATGAAGAAGCCGTCTGGTCTTTGGCAGTATCATCTCAAAATGAATAAAAAATCAACAGTTTGTTTTGGAATTTTGCTCTTTGACCTGTTTCAGCTATGAGGAGAATCTGGAGTACTTTGAGGAAATCCCCCATAAATGGAAAGCACTTGCAAATTTGTAATACACTCAACTGGATTTGAACTGAATATGACAAACTGAAAATAATTTGTGGTGAAAGGTGCAGTGCCCTGCAATGGGTCGGTGCCCCATCTTTGGTTATTCCCTGTCTTGTATGGCTGGATGTGTCACAGAGGTTTAAATATCTGTATTAATTGTTGTTAGCTAAAACGGAATAACTAACAATATGATTTGTTTTAGATTCTGATGACTCCAAACTAATCAATATAGAACAGGACCCACCCATCCATCCATTTTCTTAAACAACTTGTTTTTTCCAGGGTTGCAGGAGGTCCAGAGAGGATCCGAGAGCCACCAACCCAATAAACAGAACCCACTTCAGGTAACTGCATAACTTTTAAGCTATATCTGCTTCGATAGATTTGTTTAAATAAATTCAGATACTGGTTATTCTTCTACTGAAACAACCTGTCCAAATCTTACCCATCAGCCATCCTGAGGTTTGATATTGTGATTCTGCCAGCCTGCATCCCAATGCCACCCTCATACTTGGGTGTTTTCGTTTATTCTAATAAGACATGTGCAAATACTTTCAGACACACAAAGGTGTTTTATGTTTAATCCTCTCTTGTTATTTAGCTGAGGTCTAAAACTTGCCTTAAATGCAGTGTTTTTTTCCCATCCTTCAGAGTTACAAGATGGATGCCAGCCATTGCGGACTCTGTTTGATCATAAATAATGTGAAGTTTTTACCTGAGTCCTACTTAAGAAGCCGCAATGGATCCAACATAGATTGTGATAAACTTGAAAAGCGATTCAAGTCCTTGAATTTCATTGTTGATGTTCAGCAGGACCTGACTCACGAGGTTAGTTGGTCTCCCATTGCTGTGTGTGGCAAAGCATAATCCTATGGACTGATTTAACCAGCATGTACCACATAGGATGCTATTTTAGTTACTGAAAACTTTGGCTAACTTGCATCTAATATTAGTTGGTATTTTGGGCGGCTTACCATGGATTTCATGCTAAACACTGTGAGGTACAGTAGCGCAACATGAAAAGAAAAGAATATACACATAATTCAAGATTCAAGAGATTTATTTGTCACATACAGTACAACATGCAGTGAACATAAACATTCCATTTTATTATTTTATTATATCCATCTTTCCTCTGACTGGTTATCCTATTCAGGGCCACATGGAGCCCCATAGTCTATCCCAAGCAATATAGGATGGGATGCCAGTCCATCACAGAGCACAAATATGCAAAGATTCACACAGTCAAACTCCATAGCGAATTTCAAGATGCCATTTAGCCTAATTGCATGTTTTTGGACCATGGAACGGAAGACTCAGGGAGGACATACAAAGTCCTCATAGATAAAGCAGAGGCAGGACTCGAACCCTCAGCCCCTGGCTGTGGAAGGCGACAGTGGTATCTCATCATTTAATGATGCTCTGCTTAATTTCATGGAATATATTACAGTTTTAATGTAAATGTTTATAGAGTATCCTTTTTTTAGCAAATAATTCAGCAGTTGTCAGCCCTTTCTAAGAAGGACCATACGAAATATGACTGCTGCATTGTGGTCATTTTGTCTCATGGCTCTAAGGTAAGGTGGCTCCTCTCACTTCTTTGTTTCCCCAGAAAATACTTAATATTAGTTTTTCTATCTCTTGAATGAACAAGGCAACAGTGGCCTTCTCTGTTTCTTTGGTTGTCTTTTAGCCTTCTTAGACATCTCACCTCTGTGTTCTCTGTATTCAGGCAACTAAGAACCTCATCCCTGGTGCTGTGCATGGAGTGGACGGGCCTACAGTTCCAGTTGAGGACATTACCAGTTTCCTCAATGGGGAGCACTGTCCATCTCTCCAGGGCAAGCCCAAGATCTTCTTCATCCAGGCCTGCGGTGGAGGTAAGCTGAGCCAGATAAGTTGGCACCTTACCTTAACTGTGCTTCTGTGTTGTTAAAGGAATATAGTTATTATAGTGGAGTGGGGGTGGTGGTAAGGCTGTATTGTAAAAGAGGTGTTGGAATTTAATTGAACCTTGGAGCAAGCTGCTCTTCCCTCATTGAATCGCATTGAATGGCAGCCAAGGGTTACATTATGTGCAGTTACTCACCATTTATATATTCCGAAATAATTCATCAGTTCACACGGCTCTGTTATTTGCTGTCCTTTCCTACAGGAAAGCATAATAATGAACACATCTCCTGTTCATCGGTGAATTAGCAGTTTGCCTTCTTGGAATAGCTCTATTAGTGGAGTATTGGTTTATAATATAACTTCAGAGCAGTAAACAAAGATAATTATATATAACATAATTTTTAGGTAAAGTATTCCTCATTATTTAAATCAAAATGTATAGGTTTCATTGATCAAACTTTAACCATGCCTTAGGTCTAATCACAAAAATGTTATATGAAACATTTGTGAGAGCACTATACATGGAAAATTTGCCCATATGCTTCTCAAGATGAAAAAGACAAAGGACGTGAAGTGCCTATTCAAGAGTCCAGCGACCGCTACAGTAGGGATGCTGTCCCTGTATCTGGGAGTGACACACTAACGGACAAGCCAGACAAGTTCAGTGTTCACACAACACTGCCAGTGCCCAGTGACATCCTGGTGTCATACTCTACTTACCCAGGTATGAGTATCTAAGGAGTCAAATCCATAACACTGTCAGTACCCAGTGACATCCTGGTGTCATACTCTACTTACCCAGGTATGAGTATCTAAGGAGTCAAATCCATAACACTGTCAGTACCCAGTGACATCCTGGTGTCATACTCTACTTACCCAGGTATGAATGTCTAAGGAGTCAAATCCATAACACTGTCAGTGGCTTAAGAAGCAACCAGTGTTTAGTGTATTATGAAATACAGAAATTCTTATTTTGGGCAGCTAGTACTACAGTTTGAAGATATCCGCAAAATTATATGGAGTGTTGGTCAGCAACATGGGAAAATGCAATGCAAATGTCTCTCAATATTGGCTGTCATCAGTGTTGTGCATGAATGCGCTAACTGAGCGTGCTCATATTTTTGGTGAATAATGATCTAAACGAATCAGTTTGCAACAAATAAAGATGAACATGAGCATCGTTCATTCTGGCAAGACTGAACGACGCTCACACACCAGAGGTAGCAATAATAGGAAAAATATTACCTTTCATATTATGATATGAAATATGATATATTAGTGAAATTACTCAGAATCGAGCCTTGGAAAAATATTACGTTATGATCTTAAGTTTCTTGTGCTTTCCTTGTCTTGATCAGTATTGATGTGATCCACTGCAATGCTTGTGATGCCAGTAATTTATATTAATAAAGTAGAGCTTTCTAAAGGTATACAGGTGACGCTAGTGATGTTTTAATTACTGATCAAAAATTTCACTTTGGATTCAGAGGAGCTCAGTAAAAAAATCAGAAGACATGAACATGAACTAGTTCATTTTTGGGACTGTGAACTTAAAAATTAAAAATTGTGAACTTTCAACATGAGCTAGTTCATTTTAATCTGTGTGAAGTGAACTCTGGGATAGTTCTTGTTGAGTGTGAACTTGCAGAACACTGGCTGCCGCTGCAGGGTATGTCTCATGGAGGGACAAGGAGACTGGCACCTGGTATGTGGAAACCCTGGACCAGATCTTGGCAGAAAATGCAGCATCAAATGATCTGGTTACCATGCTGACGATGGTGGGTGTCTCTCAGGAATGACTAACTATGGATCTGCCTTTTGCAAACTATCTTTATCACTCAATCCCTGCTCCCAACATTGATCCATCTTACCCCCCACCCTGAACTTATACTGATTAAGAAGTTGGAATATGGATGAATAGTAAAAAATCTTCTGCTTAAAGTGCTTAAAACTTAGTGACACATTGCTGTATTGTCAGGTTGACTGTTTCGTACACCATGATAAGTGGTTAAATGAATAGCTCATTGCATGGCTGCTACTATTACTATTACTATTACTATACTAAATACAATTAACCTCACTTTCTCATGTGTGTCCAGGTCAACAACAAGGTTGCACAGAATAGTGTTAAAGACATATCTACAACCTACAAACAGATGCCCTTCTTCTTATCTTCTTTAAGAAAGAATCTCTACTTCCAATGTTCTCCCAAGGGAGACAGTTAGAGACTCCATGGAACATCCCAGGATGTTTCTACAACGCTGTCTCTTCAATACAGGACTGATACAACCCGGATTCCATATTACTGGGCCTGCACATTGGACTCAGATTTATAGATCTTTATTTGTTTTCTATGTGTTCTTCAGTTTGTGGATCAGGAACTCATAGTTTAGACACTTACAAAACCTAATTAGTAGAGCCATTTATGATGTACCTAATTATTTTGATTCACTGATTATTTATTAATTATGAATATTTGATGGTGGAATATGAGATTTTTACCAATAATTGTATCTTCAAGATGTAGTTAGTGTATTTTAGGATATAAAGTGTATTTTAGTACTGTTTGTCCTATATTGCATTGTTGTTTATCCTGGTGTCCCCCACAGCACCTGTCCCCTCCCCTGAAACTGTGACACAAGAATTTCAATTTGGCTAGTAATGTGAATATGTAACTCATTCGGTGAAGCTGCTCACTATAAAAGCGAGTTTCAAAACAAAACTGCTGTGTTGACACAAATTATAACATAACAAATAAAGCCACCTATTCAATTAAATATATCATGGCAGTTTGCGGGTCATGTTTATAAAAAGGAGATTACAACTCTTTTCAAAGGAAGTTCTGCCTCTAATGACAGATCACTGCCAGCGTGAGCAATCAGTGACATAGCAAAGGGGGTCATTTTACTCTACATTCACATTCAGGGTTGAATGATGTCAAAATACACATTCCATGGCAGACATTACACAGTCACTACTTTCATTGTTTACAACACTAATGCACAACAGGGTTGTGCAAAATTCAGAACTGATTAATTGTTCCCCATTACATTTATGAATTGGCATTTGAATTGAATTGGCCACACCCCTGTATGTCCTTTACCATGGACACAAATTTATGGTTTTTCAAATTGAACTGTTTATGTATATTAGTAAGGTCTTTCCATTTTAATTTTAAAAAGTAAAAATTTTGATGAAATTTGATGAAACAATGAATTAAAAGTGTGACATCTGTAAACATCTGCTAGAAGAAACAGACAGACCGAGCTTCCCCTATATTTAAGAAGATGATAAATTAATGATACAGAGGCTCTGTAGTGTGATCAAGGTGAACAAGTTTTGATGCAACGTCTGATAAATGTGCATTTGCCAGTCACCCTTTTCTATGTGCTAAATATCTCCTTGTGTTCTGCCAACAAAGCAGCTAATTGCACCTGCTGCTGCAGACTAGCTGGAGATTCTGCTCCAGCTGCACAAGTGGCACATCAGTGGATGAAATGGGGGAGACCGACTCAACTGGGACCTGTGGAAGCAACACGAGCTCAGATTCATCCACGGAGATCATCCCCCCCCCATGTGCGCGCCCTCTCTCATGTCCTGATCTGTAGGGTTTAACACACACGCAGTAGCAGCCCCATCCTACACCAACATCGCAGTGTGAGCCACAACACACTCACTTCTGTTTTGGAGACTGGACATTAACCGGCCCACAAAACCAGAGGGCTGATCAACGGGCCCAACTGGGGATACACTGGGGATACACTGACAGGCACCAGCATATTGTGTCCCATAATTGCAGTCTGTCACAGACAAAATCCAAGTGGGTGTGGTTAGGGACAAGAAAGTCCAGGCCTGGCGATGCTGCTTGTGCAGACCCCATAAGTACTTAGAAAACATTCTGCCAGAATTCATTACCTAAGTGTCAGGTGGCAGATATGGTACCCAACATGTTGAGCATTTAGTTGTTCGTAGCACATGCAGCAATCATTGAGCATTTAGGAGCCGCCTGCGCAGTGCTGGAACAGAGGTGCGGAAATCGGCGTTTATAAATGATTCAGTTGATCCTGAATCCACTAATTTGACTTCAGTCCCCTCAGCGCTTCCCCTCACGTATGAGGTACGCTGCCACTCTGTTGTACCTTATATCACTTATTGAGGAGATAAGCGTTTCTCCCTCCAATGGATCCATAGGTGCTGTAGCTGGTGTTTGGACCACAACAACAGTGACATATCTTTTCCCAACTGGTTGGTTGGCTCCTCTCTCTTGGGGGAGAAAATGCACTTCTCACCACCCTCATCATTAAAAGGAGTCCTGGGAGTCCCCCCCCCCCCCAAGCACTCTGACACTGACCTCCATGCACTGGAGGAGAGATTTTCCATTCATCTTTCCAGCCACTTGGTCTCAGTTGGTTATTTTCCTCTGCCAATCGTCTCATTTCCATCCTCATTTCCCTCATGTCTTCAGTAAGTCTTTACATGGCCCTGTACAAACCACCTCCATAAGGTATGGAATGTACTATTGCTGTTGCAGCACTTCCCGTAGGAGGCTGGCAAACATAAGTGTCCATCTCTTGAGTCTCTCTGGCCATCTCACATCAGCCGGCCATAACCAGGGCCTCTTCCAAATCAGTAGCCCCCTGCTCATAACATTTAGGTCTTAGAGTTGGGCCGAGCCCAACCAGAAATCTGCTGCATCAGCCTGAGAATGTTTCTTAAACTCGCTTGCTTGTTTTTGCCGCATACACTTCCAAACATTCACCTGGAGCACAGAGACAAGCACAGAGATTCCCTCTGACACAGCCCAGAAAATGGTTTTGTGATCCTTGTTAGTATAGTGGCTTAGTTTCCCCTACTTATAACTCGGGAGACTAGGGTTTGATTTCACGACGGGGAGGGGGTGTGATTTAAAAAGAGGTTAAATGAAAATAAATGTAATTCAAATGACACATGTTGGGATACAAATTTGTTTTTTTCCTTTGACCTCATCACACCAGTTTACTTTGCACACTGATTGGTCTACATGTGTCCACTCCAGGTGTATCTGTCCAGTCTCACAAGCACGCTGCCTCCTACTACTAACTAGTACAACTGAATACTCACTACTAGTAACTGCGTTATTATCATCATCAGATACTTTACCCATTTTCTTAATATAAAACAAGAAATCTGGAGTCCTAACTCACAATTTAAATATTTCAATATTAAATTCTAAATAATTAAAGTTTGACAAAAATTAGTCGTGTTTACCTCACGTTCAAAAAGATACAACTAAACGAAATAAGCCCATTTTAAACAGAACCGAAAACAAAATCAGAACAGAAAATGGCATAAAAACTACAATAATAGTGGTTTGACGAAACGATGAAGGAGTCTGTGTTGCACCATGTCCGGCTCTAAGCTCTTTGGGCCAGCAGGTGGCCCTAGTGAGCATGCGAAGTCTCGAGAATTTAACGGCACTTTTCAATGCAACTGCCTGGAAAGCTCCAATGCTTCAAAAGAGCATCATCTGTCCATAACCACAATAAATATCGCACACCTGCTTTTTATCGACCTGCTCTAATAATATTATTAATATTTAAAATAACATTACAACCAGCAATCTGCCCTTGGTTTGTTTTTCCTAATTACATTACGCCAGATCAAACCGCACCGCAGTCAGCTCGCCGTATCTGCTAGTCCGAAGTCAACGCATCATACTTGTTAACTCACGCATCATAAATAATATAATCTATGATTAACGCACCGCTAGTCACAACGAAGGGCAGCAGACTTCCTACATCCAGACTGCACCGCAGCGATTGCATTTACGTTTCCGACTCCGTTAAGGCGACGTCCTATGTTTACGTAAGACGCACAACGTATGATCGCTCTAGAAATTATACACTAAATAGAAGGGAAATACATTGTGACGCAGATTAGCCAAAGTTTGAAATATGGCGCAGAGCCGCTTTATTAGGGTGACCAGATAATCCATGTCAGGGAGGACACTTTGAGCTACTTCAGGTTTTACAAAATACTTTCAAATTGAAAGGCTCCTGTGCTCGGCTAATTAGTTCAGCTCTTCTTGTGCTTTGACTGGTTTATTTCCTTGACTGAAAGACTCATCCAGCTGTTTCACATTANCATGCATGATTATAGGAGACTGACCAATCAGCACACAGCAAGAACTCAGTGCTCAAGTGAAATCCAGGTCCGTTTAATTGAAATGGTAATTTACAATTCCTGTCCTAGCTCAGAGTGTCCTCCCTGACATGGATTATCTGGTCACCCTACGCTTTATCTACACCAGAAAAAGCATAAGATGTTTTTTGTTCATTATTGAAAGGAATGGATTGATAAATGGGATAGTAATAATATCAATACACGATGGTTTTGTTTACTTTAAAAGAAGTAAATTAGTTTGTAAAATGAGCTCAAATGAGTTCTTGGGAAACGCATAGGCCTATATTGGATCTAAACAAGAAAGTACTCATTGGCAGGGTAACCACCAACAACTTTTGACATGCTACTATAGTGTGACACCAAATCATAAAAATCCATGGTAAAATATGGCAAGTTACACATGCTGTTTTTGGCACTGAATTTCGCTGCCATGTTTTATGGGTGCAGTTGCCGCCATATTGAATTCTGCGATTTTTTTTTCCGTATACCTATCTGGCTTTGATAGATTTCTATGGTCATCAAAATAAAAACAAGGAAGTGAGGCGAAGTGGTAGATATCTAGTTAGAGATTTTTCGGATTTACTTGGGGGAAACACATATTATTTCGAAATTCATATATTGGATTCATATTTCCTAAATACACGAATTTTATTAGTGGTAAGTTTTATTTTTTATTGCTGTTTTAAGACAGATACCAACAAGTGAGTTTTTCCACCAGTTGTGTAAAGTAATTTGTGGGTCCGCAGATAAGAAATAGATTTATTTAAATGTTTAATATGAACAAACTTTATCATGATGCCATAAATGGCTGTATTCTATTGTCTTGTCCACTTGCAGTCTCAGAATGGACCCCGAACAAAGAAACAGACTCCATATTAAAAGGTCCTGTCTTGTAGCGAAACTGGAGCCTTCGAAGCTCTATGATGGACTTTTGGCAAGGGGGGTCTTCACGCAGGATATGATTGAAGAAATACAGGTACGGACAGTGATGGAAAAAGTGGGCTACTCAATTTTCAAACTAAAGTAGAAGTATATACGCATCTCCAAAATGTTACTCAAGTAAAAGTCATCCAGCGAGTAAATTAATTACTACTCAAGTAAAAAATAGTTTAAAAATATTCGAAGTAAATATCGAATATTATAAAGTAGTACACTTTCAAATCAATTGAAAAGCAGCCTATTCTTTTGAATTCACTCAAGGCAAATTTCGTATAATGATGGTCTCGTGTAGAGTGTATCGGAATAATTATTTTGCTCAGAAATGTTGCTTAGTGAAAGTAAAAGTTGCAACAACGTAAAATACTTAAGTACAAATCCGAAAAATTTACTTAAGTACAGTAACCAGAAAAGTATCACTGTTTAAATTTAAATCAGCAAGTACTAAAGAGCCAATGATTGGATCATTATTACAGCACATCCACGTTATGCTGCAATAAAGTGACGTCAGCTGAGTATCTGAATCTACTTAATGGCCAAGTTATCGATACGTGGGCATATTCCAGGACAATAATGCCAAGATTTGCTGGGCTCAAATAGTCGGTTAGGGAGTATGACGAATCATTTAAGTGCCAATTCGCCACTGAAAGTCTATGGGATGTGCTGAAGAAGACTTTATGGAG